CTATTTTTCAAGGCTGCACTTTAAAAAAAGATGAAATTGTCCAGAGAGCTGTTCCAAACGAATTTTAGTTTTGTATTACACTGGTGTAAACAAAATGACAAATAAACTCTAAGTCTTTTAATCTTTCCCTGCTTTGTGGATCAACTATCACGGTTGCTAAGCGACTGAGCGAACGTGAAAGCGGCCGAAAGCCAGAATTGTTTGAACTGGAACACAACCCTTGAATTTGAATTCAGCCCATTATGGTTCAGGCCATCTCCGTTCTTACCTTCTTTTTTTTCTGTGATATCTCTGTATCTAAGTAACCCCAACTGTCCAGAAGCATTTAAAAATACAGCACCTAGTGCTGAACTTTTCAACTGAGCACGTGGCGCTTTCACACAGTTTTATTTCTGGAAGTAAGGAGTAGCTAGGCTAGCGTTAGCTTTGCATAGCATAGCATAGCTATGGCTTCTCTCTCTCTCCCTCCCTTGACTCTTTCTTCCTCCCCTCTCTGTCCTGCTCTTTATGTCAGATGTTCTGTTATCCCTCTGCCTCCTTCAGTATTAAAAAATTATGGGTAATAAGTGCATTATTTTTCCTAGCTTTGGAGGCGAGGGTGTTAGTTAGTATCCCAGCTTCGGGCTGTTGAACAACCAGGAGTTGAAGTTGGCCCACCTGTTGAGACTGGGGTGAAGTTAGTTTTACGATGAATATTCTCTCCGTTTCATCCTCTTCTTCACTTTGAGAAAGCCTCTTTTTTGCTCCGGGTACACAGTGATCGGAGAAAGCAGCTGCAACACTTCAACTATACCCGTATTGTAGAATTTACAAAAAAACGCGGCAATAGAAAGCAGCTGCGTCATATAACGACTTCCTGTTGACGGTGGCAAACAGTTTTTTCGGTGCGCTTTACTGCCACCAACTGGCGAGGAGTGTCCGTCAGAATCTGTTTCTTCTTTTTCTTTTCTTTTATGGCGGATCACAAGCAACTTTAAGGTGCATACCGCCACCTACTGTACATGAGTGTGTAGCAACATTACTTTACATCTAATTCTATTTTTCAATTTCCATTAGTAAAAAGTAGTTTATTCAAGTATACTAAAAGTGCACTAATTTCATACTTAAAATCAGACAGCGCACTTAGAGTTTACTTATTCTAAACTATATTTCATATACTTAACAATAGTCTAGTCAAGTGTACTTGACTAGACTATTGTTCACTTTGTTTACGTAAACTTAAAAATGTATCAATTTAGTTCAAAGAAGTATTACTTTATTAACACTTAAAGTACAGTAAAAGTACATTGTTCGGTATACTTTCTAAATACTTAAGTATTCCTAATAGAATTCACTTCAAGTATACTACTTTTTGCTTAGGGTTTGTATCCAGTAGATAAATACACAATGCTTTCCTTAATCTTTGAATATCCATTATATTTCCTTGATTTCCCAATATTCACTTAAAACTCCATTCTTTGCCTGTCCTTTCAACCATCCTTCTCTATTTCTCCTTTTTATGTTCATAAGTTTTACAGTTCATCAGTACGTGTTCTACTTTTTTTTTTTCTCCACATCCTTCACGTTTATCATTATTTTTTCTGTTTTTTTTTTAACAGTAGTTTAAAGGTATTGCGGAGGATTTTTTTAAAAGACCCGCCCTCTCCACTTAAAAAAAGAAAGAAAAAAAAAGAGCATGCACAAGCCCATTTCTCCTCGTGCATGCCCTGTTTCAAATGTGCTGTTCTCATAGCTCACACAAGCTTACTGTGTCCACATTAGGGTGGCCATTTCTATAGCACCAAAAAGGAGGACATTGTGCCACATATCAATAAATTACTAAGGTGTACATAAGAATAAGGTAAAGTCAAATTTATAGTACAATTCTGAGTAGTTTAAAGAGGATGCATGTGAAGCTGAATAGAAAAAAATATTAATGAAATGTAAAAAAGAATTGGTTCCCAGCATTTGTATTTATTTAATACATTGTGGTGTTTAAAAAGGGACCACCGAGATGAATCTTTAAAGTGCAGAATACCACAAAGCATAACATATGGACTTAAACGTAAAAAAAAATAATAATTTTAACAAGAAAAATTCATAATAAATTAGCCTAATATTTTTTTAAACAACAACAACAACATTCAAATGCTCTAAAAGTATAGCTTTATTTTTAAGAGCCTCAGTCTTTTGGGAACTTATCTTAAATGTCTGTGTGTGCAGCAGACCTGTCTTTATGGTCATCCCTTTAGCTATGGGCCAATCACTGAAATCCACTTTCACGTCACAGTCTACACTTCCGTAGGACTAGTGATGTTTTATAGTATAGTCCACCTTGCAGCTCTGCACAACTTATTTTAGCATCCAGGGGTGACAAAACTTAATGTAAAAGCCAACATTGAAGAGTTTGCTGCTGCAGGTTTATTACTTTTAGGTTAATCCATACTCACAGGCCGTTCATTTGCAGCTTTTCCTCGACTGCTTACGCCTACATCGCATCGACAAAGTGGCAGAAACCATGGAATGAATCTCCACTACCTTTGGTCATAAATTCACGCTCTTTTGTCCATTCTGGGTTAAACGACATCATCCTTGCTTACTTTTGTAACCAATGACAAGCAGATCTTTATGTGACACGCCTCCACTCTTAGCCAATCATCTGTTAGATCAGATAGTGATGCATTTTTGATGATTGGATATTGTGCTGCAGCTCAGCAAAGAAAGAAATAAAAATCTGCTCTACAAGCCTAGTGCCTCATAAAGGAGGACAAATACACATCCGGCTGGATGCGGTGCCGGACGCCGGACAGTGCAATGAAAATCCGGACTGTCCGCCCTAAAGCCGGACATCTGGCCACCCTACTCCACATACAGTGGGGACTATATAGTGAACTTTATAGCAAATTCAGTCCACTGACCGTTCGGACAGATGATCACTGCTTTTTGCACCGTTGGTCATAGAACTCCTCCTCCACTGTCGGGTGGCGACAGCCCATGGCGAAAGCGGGCCGCTGTAAAAGCAAATCCCATTGTACTTTGCGAGGAGAGCGCTCCGTGCAAAGCATTCTGGGATATATCTGCCTTTTCTGAGGACTTTCGTTTCTTTTCATACACTTTCTAGGCTTCTGAAACTTTCGAAGAATTGTGTGAGCTTCAATTATTGTCTGAAACCGCAGCTCACCACACATATGCGGCTGAAAGTGTGCATGCCCAGAAAAAGTTAGCTAACTGGGCGAGCGTATAGGATGGCCTTACATAAACATCACCAGGATGATTGACAATTAGTAGGAACATTTTTTTAGATATTACTAAAAGATCTCTATATACAAAGTTCTGTACTTTTCCTTTTGTCACGTCTTGTTCTGCCTCTCAACTAGCTCACCTGTTTCCATCCGAGTGTGTCTGCCTGAACTCTCTGCTGGACTTATGAAACTCTGAACCTGCCTGAACGCTCTGTGGATTTCTGGAACCCTGGATATGTCTGTTCTTGTTCTGATCGGAATCCGGGTTAGGGACTCCTGGATCTCAGAAACCTCCCTGTTCTGAAATGTTTCCCTGATCTGGCTTGGACTTCTGCCTGTTCATAGAGTTTGCTGCATCTGGGACACTTGGAGTGGCTCACACCTCTTCTCATTTGGCAGCCCACCGGCTCGATCCTGCCTCCTGCTTAGGAGTTGAACTGAACTGTTAAACCAGATAAGTGACTCACTTGGATAATCATATTCTGTCAGATTATTGTAGCCACTTACCTGTGTTTCTACCTAATACACACTTGCACTCTGAGTTCCTGACAGACAGGTTTATCAAACACAGGTGGCAGGTCAGTCACACCAAAATTACCTGCACTCTCTGATTGCTAGGAGTTCGAGTCCAGCTGGTTCTCATCAAGCTGCAGAAAGGTGTAGCGGTGGGGAGTGGCTACCTGGCAGTTTACCAGAACAATAAAGATTGATTGATGAATAAAGATCCTCTTGAGCGAAATGTGCTCCAGGGCTAAAAAGAAACAGGAGCAGCACCCAAGCAAATGTCCACTTTAATTAAACAACAAACAAGATGATGAAGTAGCTAAATTTGTTTTTATTTGACCTCAATCTTACCAAGTAAATCTGTTGACATTTGAAATCTCTTCTAAAAGGATGCCCTGACCAATAAGTATATAAGCACAACGTAAAAGATGCAAACAAGGTATCACATTACCATAAACTTTATTCATAAAACTAACAGTAAAGTTTAGATATTTACACCAAAGTATAAAGTAATAAGGCATAAAACACAATAAAAAAAATAATAATTTGACTAAAGAGTGCAAGATATGTTAAATATGTTTGACAGTTTTTGTTTAAAACTAGAAACATAAAAAGAAGCTGATATCCTAAGCAGTAAAGAAATTACAACCACAAGACAGCAAAAATAATGGAGACTAAAGTCCTGGAATTAAATAATACATTTTCCCCAACTGGATCACAGATAAATTTTTACTATCTCAGTTTTAGGAACTCAGCAGATGATTCTTCATCAAGAAGTCTAATCCCAGCATATAGAGGCTGAGTGAACGTGGTCTGGACTCTATGGAGG